TTTAATTTATTGTCTATGTCATAATTAGAAAAGAGAATTAGTGGTTTCCATAATTATTTTTGTGATTTAATATAATATATTTTTTAATTAAATTATGATCGACTAATAGAGAAGAAGTGAATAAGAAGTATTCACCTAAGAATTGTTCCATGAATATTCGTTGATCTCCTCCTCTCTGTAATAAGTCAAAAGACTATAATACCCTTGGTTTCCCTCCACATATAAAACTTCTACAGTGACCCGATCTGGAATCGGACCTACAAAACCGGTATAGTCCAATGGCATCGTCGTCTTCGTCCCGTAGATCTCTTCTCCTCGTCCTGGAAGTCCTCTTCGTTACGTTTCTCTCCGCATCGGCTTATCTACCGGAGATCGGAGGATTTGCCGGAGACGACATCGTTGAAGTCAATCGCTCACAGAGAGAGTTCGATTATTTCGCTCTCTCTCTTCAATGGCCTGGAACTTACTGCCGTGGAACTCGCCATTGCTGCTCCAAAAACGCTTGCTGCAGAGGGTTCGTTTTGTTTTTCTGTCTTTCTTTCAATCTTGGATCCGATTGAAAAACCCAAGTTTCGTTTTTTGAGGATCTAGATTCAGCTTTTGGGATAGAGATTATCTGATGCTTACGATTATTAGATTGGAGAAATCAGAAAATTCTCGAGCTTACATAGAAAATGGTGATTTATTAAGTTTGAATGAAGTGATTCGTGCTTCTGCAGTACCTCAAACCAAATCTCTGCTTAATTAATCGATGTTTTGAAAAGATTTGGCTTTGTAGTTTGCTCTAAGTTAACCTTACGTGTTTCTTTTCTTTTGCAGGTCGAACGCTCCAACTCAATTCACAATCCGTAAGTAATCTCTTTGAATCTTTTAGTTTGCAGTTTGAGAAATCAATGTGTTTGTGTGTCAATTTGATCTCTTGATTTTCTCAGCTTAGTGTCTTTCATTTCTAGAGTTTCTGGTGAAGTTCAAAGTTGTTGTTTTGACTGTTTTAAGCTGAGAAAATAGAAAACCCCTTTCAATAATTTTGCATTTCAATCTTTTTTTATTTTGATTTGAAGGGTAACTTTATTTCTAAAACTATGCACCCTAATTATCTCTAATACTAATCTCGTAGATGGGCTATGGCCTGACTATAACGACGGTTCCTGGCCTTCATGTTGTTATCGATCTGACTTTAACGAGAAGGAGGTAAAACATTCATATGCTTATGTGTTCTTTAGAAATAATATGAATATGCAAATGTTTTTTTAGCCTAAAACGTTAAACTTTATGTAACTTGGCTGGATAGCATCCAGAAAGGTTAACTGATTTATGGCATAGAAGCCATCATTTCTTAATATCTCAAGAGAAGATTCTTAAACAAGAAAATTTGCAGATCTCAACGTTGATGGATGGCCTTGAAAAGTACTGGCCCAGTCTTAGTTGTGGTTCTCCATCAACATGCCATGGTGGAAAAGGGACATTTTGGGGCCATGAGGTGATTATTTTATCTTATCTAATTTACTATAATTTTCCGCGTATATGTGTATCCATCTCCCATAATTCTTGTATTTCAGTCTTCACTAAAACTAACTGAGTTTCATTTGTTGGTTGTCATGTATCTCTTTGCAATACAAACTGGCAGTGGGGTAATCATCTTCAATCTTTACTCCTTTAAACAATTTTCTTTCACATAATTTTATATCGAGTTTGATTCATTGTTGCTCTTAAAAATTTCTGTGCAATTAGAAAGCTCCATGCTTATTCTCAGAGCCTTTGGCTTAATAGTGTGTTAGTTAGCACAATATGTTCTTGTTTGATTATGCTAACGATTGTGGTGATAATTTCTTATTTTCAGAGAAACATGGGACTTGCTCTGCTCCTGTTTTTCATGATGAGTATACTTACTTCTTAACCACACTTAATATCTACTTAAAGTATAATGTTACGGTAAGTCTTCACAGAGTTAAGTTTATGTTATGATAAAATGCATAGTGATTTGGTTAAACAAGAAAATTGGGCATACACAAGATTTACATGGTTTAACTATTTGCTTGCATGCATGTGCAATTGAGTTGATGGAGAAGTAGCTATTTGTATAAGGACTTAAGTTATAATATTTTTGGGCAGAAAGATAGAATTATGTTATGACTCTGTAAGAATTAAGTTTCTGCATTGTACCTTTTATTTCGTATCCTCAATTTCAAGATCTAGCCTTGAATTTGACTACATTTTCATATACTGTGGAGAATTTGATTCTTGAAAGTACTTAAGTGGAGAGATCAACCTGTTATGATTTTTAATCTCAAACTCTCAAATCAATAAGAACCCTCTTTATTTCCTTACCAAAAGATCCCAAATACAAAGAAAATGGAAACATAAAAAGATAAACCCTAAACTAAAGAGATGTTATGGAGTCCCTTCTCTCCCTCTCACAACTTTGATCAATCCATTTGATAAAGATAAAGAAACTACAAGCCAAAACATATATAGATAAAGCCTAATGGATACCCTAATTTAACCATGGTTACTTAGAAAGCAACCACAATTACTCTTGTTACTTTAACCACACCTAACACAACCAGATATTTTCATTACCTCATTTACCATATCATATACCCAAAGGTTTTGTTAGAGGTAATTGTGATCCGAGTTCTGGACTAGGGAGTTGTGCCTAATTGTGATTTTTTCGTCTATCATGGATGTATATAGTTTGTTTTTTTCACTTGTTAAAATGATAATGCATGTTATATCTCCCTCTGATTTGTCTGTTTATCAGTTTGTGAAGACATTTATTGTACATTTCTCTATCCTGGAGAAGTTTTTAATGTCATTTTACAACCTCTGCATCTGTAAATCTGGAATAGGATGTCCTTTATCAAGCTGGCTATGTTGCTTCCAACAGCGAAAAGTATCCTCTAGGAGGTATCGTAACAGCCATTCAGAATGCATTTCATCTTACCCCTGAAGTGGTATGCAAAAAAGATGCAATCGATGAAATACGTATATGCTTCTATAAGGATTTTAAGGTCTGTATTCAACATCTCTTTCATCTTATATTTGTTGATTTCCTTTTTAAGTTCTGTATTCGTCATGCATGGTTCTTGTTAAAAGCTGTCTGTAGAAATTGCTTGGTTTGTCAAGAATTGCAGATCATTGAAATTATGTTTGCTTTCCTTGGTTTAAAGTGAAAGCATATCGTTAAGTTCTGAGAATGCTACCGGTTTCTGACCGCTATTCTTTTTTTTGGTATGACTACAGCCCAGGGACTGTGTTGGTTCAAAAGATTTGACTTCGAAAAAATCATGTCCCAAGTACGTAAGTTTACCGGAATACACGCCATTGGGTAAGTAAAAAAATCATAAAACACAAACCATTTTTTTCCACATTTGTTCATATCTTGAACAATGCATATAATTCTAAGTAATGTGGATTCATGATTGATTGGACAAGAGCAATTTAGTTAAGTAATGGTTATATGAGTAGAATGTGATAGGCATTTGTATGTGTGTAATTGCAGATGCTGAGGCTACGGTTCTAAGGATGCCAACAGATAAAGAAGTTCTTTGAATTTGAAACGATTTGAATATTTGTTGTCTTCTTGAGAGGCAATATTCACATACATGAATTTGATGTTGTAATATTACGGCCAAACCTATAAACAATGAATAAAAAAGATTGGCTTTGTTCTCATTATATGGGATATGAATCCTGACTGGTAAATCAGGTTTTTCTTTATACAATGGGTGAGATTAGGGAGATCCGTAACAAGATTCAAAAGTCTATCAACAATTGAATTCCATTGTCTCTGCATTTGGGAATGACTTGGTTGATAGTGGAAAGCTTTTACTCATGGATTGGTGATCAAACTATTCAAATGATCTTAGTAGTGAGTGCATTCTCCACATGTTATTAAACATGCCACTTAATCTTATCTTCTTCACCTTTGCAC